GTACCTTATCACCAACTACAAATTTTACATTTCTTTTACCTTTAAATTGCTTACTTTGATGCATCTGAGCATTACTAACATTATCTCTAGCAACAGATGACGAAGGAAAACAAACAGGTAGTTTTGTACAATCACGAATTAAATCCAGTCGACAACGTAGAGGTCGTCCAAACATTAATTGAGCAGGCGAAAATCCAGTTGTTAAATTTACAGAATTCCTATAATCGAATAAAAACTTATGCATTTTAATCATTAACTTACTGAAACTCATATCATTTGTTACAATGGCCTTTAAGCCGCTCTTAATTGTTTTGACGCTTACCTCCGCTTGTCCATTTGACTGGGGGTGGTAAGGAGGACTAGTTAAATGCTCAATACCATTTAATCGACAAAAAACCTCAAAATCATTAGAACAAAAATTCGTAGCATTATCAGTTACTAAAGTCCGTACTAATCCAAATCTGCTAAACATTTCACTTATATTACTAATAACTAACTCAGTATCAATCTTTTTCATATAAAAACATTCTAACCACTTAGAAAATGCATCAACTGCGATCAAAAATTGTTTTCCATTAAATAAGAATACATCTAAATGAACACGTTCCCAAGGGCCTTTAGGATAAGGCCAAGATGCAAGTGGCGCATGTGGAGGGTTACTTCTATGCGAGTTGCAAACTTTACAAGAACCAATATTTTCTTCAATATTTCTGTCATAATTTGGCCACCACATACGCGATCTTGCCTCTGACTTTGTTTTAACTACACCAAAGTGTGATCTATGTAGTTCGTCTAAAAGTTTCTGTCGCAAGCTTGTAGGAATTACTACTTTATATCCGCGTAATATACATCCATTTTCAAATGAGAGTTCATTTCTACACAAAAAGAAAGGCTTTAAACTGGGGTCTAATACCTTACGAGGCCATCCTTCATTGATCATTTTAATTACTTTTTGTAAAACCACATCCTGCTTAGTTTCGTTTCTAATATCATTAACAGTAATGGGCGGTAAAACAACTTCACCGATAAAATCTACATATAAGGAATGATCAATACTGACAGATTCATCTGGTTTATCTGTAACCGTAGCACGCGACAAAAAATCAGCAATATTATCATTGCTCTTAACATATTCAATATTAAAATTATACGCCGACAAAAATAGAGCATATCTTTGTAATCTGTTTGCTGCTAAAATTGGAACACCTTTTTTATTTCCAAGAATAGCTACAAGAGGTTTATGGTCCGTACGTAAAACAAACGGCTCCGAACGCCCGTATAAATAATGGTTAAATTTTTTAACTGCAAATACAATTGAAGTGGCTTCCCTCTGAATTTGAGCATAATTAATCTCAGCTTTAGTCAAAGAACGTGAAGCATATGCTATAACTCGCTCACAACCATTTGATTGACATTGTGATAGCACTGATCCTAAGCCAGTGGGACTTGCGTCACAAGTCACTATGGTGGTGGATTTAGGATTATAATGAGCTAACACGCGTTCTGAGGCTAATTCATATTTAATTTTATTAAACGCTTCATTTTGATCTTTACCCCAAACCCATCGTACACCTTTCTTTAGCAGTGAATTAAGAGGGTATAGCACAGAAGAAGTATTTGGCACAAAACATCGATAGTAATTGACTAAACCTAAAAACAATTTTAGCTCACTTACATTTTTTGGAGCCTCACATTTTAATATAGCCTCGACTTTAGTTTTTGACTTGTGCAACCCATCTTTATCTATAATATAACCAAGGTACTCTATTGAACTCTTGAAAAATTCACATTTCTCTGGTTTTAATCTTAAACCTGCTTCTTGCAATCGATCTAAAACCAATTCTAATCGTTGTAAATGAGCCTCTTTTGTTGCAGCTGTAATTAAAATATCATCTAAATAAATACAAACGCCATCAATATCACCCAATAACTGTTCCATTGTACGTTGAAAAATAAATGGGGCGTTTGCCAAACCAAAAACTAGTCTATTATAACAATACAAACCCCTGTGGGTATTAATACAAGTATACCTTTTTGATTCATCTAACTCAAGTTGTAAGTAAGCTCTTGAGAGGTCTAACTTACTAAACTCTAAGCCTCCGTGAAGTTTAGCGAATAAATCTTCAATACGTGGTATTGTAAAATTATCTAAATATATGACTTTATTTAATGTGACTGAAAAATCACCGCAAATTCTAACATTGCCATCCGGCCGTAATACCGGAACAATAGGGGTAGCTATATCCGAATGGTCTACTTTCTCAATAATACCTAATTCAAGTAAATTATCTAATTCCTTTTCTATTTTAGGTTTCAATGCTAAAGGTACCGGTCGAGCTTTAAAAAATTTCAGTTCCGCCTCAGGCTTTATTTTTAAAGTTACCTTATATTTGTTAAATCTACCTAATTCTTTACTAAATAACAAAGCATATTTCCCATTAAATAAATTATTTTCAATGCTATTTATATCCTTCTTTTTGCAGTCATGATTACAAAGATGTAGATCGAATAATCTCATGAAATCACGACCTAAAAGAGGCAAGCGCTTTTCATTAGACGTTAAAACATAAAACTTTAGTGGATTAGTACGGCCTTCATATGTTACTTCAGGCAACACTACAAATCCTATTGGGGATATTTTCATTCCCGTATAAAAATTAAAAATTTCATTACACATTTGCAAACGATAACTATTGTTATGACTATTTTTAAATAATTCATTATATATTGCGGTTGGTAAAATAGAGACAGAACTACCGCAATCAATTTCACACAATACTTTTAAGTTGCTTACCCATATATAACATGTAATTGGTTCATCTTTTATACATTTCTGTAAATTAAATAAATTAAAATTATTAACACCATCTCCATCGTCATTAGTACCTAAAAAGTTATTTCTATTGATTTTTATTTGACACATTTTCTTTAAATGTCCTTTCTTATTACAATTCTGACATGTGTAATTTATGAATCTGCAATTTTCTTTTAAATGATTTTTATAACCACACACATCACATTGCCGTTGGGTAGCAGTACTATTATCACTGTTTCTCGCTTGCCGACGTTGCAAAGCGAAAACTGGCTGACTTTGCATCATAGATTGATCTCGATCATGATGTTGGGTAGACTGTATTGCTTGTCGTGCGCATCGTACGCTTTGGGCTAGCTCTAATGCCTTATCAAAAGTTAACAGTTCTATGCTTTCAGCAAATAATTTTTCTTTCTCTTTTATATTTTCCAATCCTAATACGAATCTGTCACGTAAAGCATTTTCCAATTCTAGTTTCAAACCACAGAATTGCGACAATCTACGTACCCGTGCTGCCCACTCTACTAAATCCTCACCTGGATGTTGTTCCGCCTTATAAAACGTGTATCGTTCGGCAAAGGTACATTTCTTTGCAGAAAAATGATTATTTAATTTTTCTATTAGCTGCTTGAATGGAATTATATCCAAATCGTCCGGAAAAACTAAATCTTTTACGATGCGGTAGGTATTCTCAGCTAGAGATGTCAGCAAAATGGCCCGTCGTCTCACACCAGTTTTGTCAGTCTCATCATGTACATTATTTGCTACACAATATTGTATGAATCGACTTTTAAAAATGCTCCAATCTTGTATATGATGGTCAAAAAAAACATTACCACCAAACGTTGAATCGATATTACGTTCTGCCATTATTTATTCTTTGTTTAGTCACCAAATTATGCTAAACACAATAAATCAATCCTCGTGAATTCGATAATCCTCGTCGCCAATGAAATATTTGGATAATTTTAGTAAAAATCCATTTGCTTTCAATTCCCTTTTTTATTTCTAAATCAATATTGACAACTATCAAAATATTGAAGTGTTCTATATTCGAACACATATATTACAATATCAAAATAATCAAAAAAGTCACTTTGAATATACAAAATTTCCCCGATATAAAACACTCTAAACGTGTATATTATTTCGTTCATACTTTAATACATTAAAGTGTTGGCGTGACTAAATTGACTCCGGAAATGAACAGCATGGAATAAAGCATCACAACTTATCAACTTTTCTTTATTTAAAATAAAAAACATGAAAACTAAATTTTCTTCTTTCATTGGAGTATTTGATTTTATTTTCATTTTTATTGCTATTAATTGGTGATTAAGAGTGGAAAATGTCGTTGAGTATTCTTCTTCATGTACCAATAGCGTACATTTAAAAACTTTTAACCCTATATAACTTAGAGAATGCAGCGCAAAGCTCGTTATTTTCAACGGAAGTTGCATAAACAGCGTGGTGTAGGATAATAGCTTACAATACGTATATATACTTCCTTGTTCGTTACCATACTTTAAAAAAAAATTGTATACTAGCTGTGTCTGCGACTTCGTTAGCGTGTAAGTAAGAAAAACAAAAATGTGTTGTGTAGATTAGGTACCACCACCTCTTTTACTGAATAGGGTGGGTCCTTAGACATGGTATTTTTTTTGTGAGATGCGCGGCTTAGGGATGTTACTTGTCGTTAGGAAAATATTTTTCTGTAAACGATAGTTTATTATAACTTTTAGCTATAATAAACATGCTACATACAAATCTTGTTACGGACTTATGAATATAATTCTATTCCCTTGAATTCAGTTCAGTAATTTTCATTTGATACGATTTCAAACATGCAGACAAACCGACAGACAAACAGACAGACAAAAATTCGGTAGATAAAACTAAAAGCGATACAAATTTCTTTTATTACATATTCTCTGTTCCTCAAACTACTGCTTTTGCAAATATAAGCAATGTAGAGACACGCCGAACAACGATTGTTATGTTAAAAAGTGAATATTTACTATTTTTACTAATAAAGGAGTAACCGGTCGTTGCATTTTATGCAATTTTGACACAGCATTGTTACTTTTTATTCTTGTACATAATGTAGTTTTATTATAATGCAAATAAACACTTGACATGAAGGATGCAGTAAATATAAGAATTAAATTATTTATTCCAGGTATAAATAATGATGAAATTTGTGTATTTGATATGCGCGATACTTGCGGTCGGAGCTTTTCCGGACGAGCGGCCACGGGTCTTCTGCGGCCGAGCGCTAGCTGAAGCTCGTATTTTGTATTGCTTTGGACCGGAAATAGCAGTGGGTGTGAAAAGAAACTTTTACGGCGATGGTAAGTTGTAACTGTTATTAAAAAAAATGCAAAATAAAATATATTATGACGACAGTCCTTTTAATGAACTTGGAAAGAAAAATATAAATTAGATTATTTTTAAATCGATTTATTTGATATGTCTATTACAATACCTTAAAAAAGTAATAATACTCAAAAGTCAATTTGAACTTTAATACCATATCATAAAGTTTAAGTGCTTGTAGAGAGGTTCCGGGAAGGCAAACAATTGAATGACGTTAGTATCGTATAAATATTAATGTCAATATTTGTCAATATTATTAACAAAAAAAAAATTATTATATGGCTAACGCTGGCTAATAACTATTTATATCTATTTAAAACGTACCTAGCGACAAACCCGAGCAAAGCGAGGGTGAGCCGCTAGTATTATATATGTCGTGTTATCCATATACTACGATCATCATCTTTGGTGGTTACTCATCTTGTGGGCGTTATCAGGGCTCAAATAATAAAGTATTCAGTGCTCAATACACAGTTTAATCAGGGAAGTCACAATGTTATAAACTTGAAACGGTAATTCTAATGATTTAGAGCTAGCGGGTTCACAGTCACCGATCATCGACTTCCAACTACAATATCAAACATAACTCTCTATACCACGATCAACCAACGTTACTAAGCCACGTATCTCCAAAGAATGTCGTGATGGCGTCTCGACCCCGCTCGAGACTAAATCTCTGCTCTAAATTCAAAAGCAATAAAAAGTAAATTAAAGAACATAGTGACTTTAAACAATGATAAGGTTTCATAACAGAAAAAGGTAACTAAATCCTCCTCCGTCTTATATATATATATATTTATATATATATATATATAAAAATTTATATAAATTTTAATATGGTTGTTAAGTATTCTTAAATAAGTATTCTTAAATTTTATAATTTTCTGCGCAATTTTTTAATTTTTTTCTTTCATAAGAACCTTTTCCTGACCATAACAAACAGCAAAAAAAAAATAGTTAAATCGGTCCAGCCGTTCACGCGTGATCGTGTGACCAAGGGAAATAGGGATTCATTTTTTATATATATAGATGTATGTATTAACCATAATATGTAAGAACTTATTTTAAATGATATAGTTTCTTCAAATGTTATAGTATTTACCAAGTTGAGTAAATTATTTTAATTTTTTCTAATATTTATTATTTAATATAATATACATATTTCAGCTCGGACGGTACATACTCGTAAGAGGACACCTACCTGGCCATGGTTGGCGAGGCGCATACACAAGAGAGCCCCCGGCCTCGTGGACGAGTGTTGCCTCAAGCCGTGCTATGTTAACCAATTGTTAAGCTACTGTTAAATATATATACTTAGCACCTATTCTAATATTTTCTTTTACTCATTTCGATTCATATATTAATTTTAGTCTATTATTCTGTTATATTTTGTTCAAAAACTTAAAAGTATTTAAATTTAAATACTAGGAATGAGCGAAACAAACCAACTTTTTTAACTTTTACTTGAATGTATCCTTTTTATCTACACTAGTGATGTATACAGGGTGTATAGGAACTGTTCTTGTGATGATGATTACTACTTAAGACCAACCTGTACTTAATTGGAATACTATTACCTATAAATTCGATAGTTTGTATGTGTGTGCTCTTCACGCTGAAACGGCTCGGCGGATTTTGATAAAATGTAGTACATAGTGTGATTTGGAGTGACACATAGGCTACTGTTAGTCGCCTAGGGTGTAGTATCCAAATGATACCCGATAATTATCAATACATACAAAAAAATTGGAACTGATTGCTGTCTGTACGTGGAAGATTTATGAGAAAACCTATTATTGGGGGTCTTTATTAACGCTATACAACCCAAAACAATTATTTTAAGAATATTTGTCTGTTTGTCTGTGTGTTCGTGCGCGCTATTCTCAGAGACGGCTTAACCGATTTGTTTGCGATTTTCACAATTAGTATTTCTTTTATTTCAATTTTTCATCGGATGACGAATAAAAAAGTTATGTCAATTGAAAGAAACATCTAGATGAACCCGAGCAAAGCGAGTATGAGTCGCTAGTTATGTAATATTATTGTAAATTGCAAAACTGCAATCAAACCTTACTCTTTTATTATAAAGAATAATAAATGTAGAAATTATATCTGTATCAATATATTTCTAATGTATCGATTACAAACAATAGCAAATATTTTTATAAATACTAAGTGAAGCGAAGCTTTTATGAATACAAGTGAAGCTCTGACGTAAGTTTATTAAAAAAAAATTAAAGAAATATAAGCTTACTACATAAAATATTTGCCATTACATTTCTAACTGTCTATATGGAATATTTGTCATTATTATTTTGTATTTTTTTAAAAGGGGATCACGGGGAGATTTATACACATATAAATAACAAAACTTTAAGAATATATTGAGTTAAATAATTAATATGACGTGGTATTCATATTCGACATCATAGTTAGTGGTTACGAATCTTATGGGCGTTTACAGGGCTTAATGCGATTGTTCGCATTAAGCGAATAATGTAAACGAGTAAATAATGAATTATTCAATGCTTAATACAATTTAATAAGGAAAATCACGATTTTACAAACTTGAAACGATTATTCGAATAGTTTAATTGAGCAACGGGTTCTCGACATCAATCTGACTTCAACACACATCACACAACACTCCAATGATCCTACACGATTAACCAATATTGCCAAGGCATCTGTGTATATATACATAGCTCCAATGAATATCATGATGGCGCCTCGACCCCGCTCGAGACGTTGCCCCGGCTCTTAGTAGAAATATAACATAGTGACTTTAAACAATAATCTATACATAATATGATAAAACTGGTCGAATGTCTGTACATAGAAAAAAATGCTAAAAACCGAGTCAGGGGGATGTAAGAAGAAAGAGAGAAATAGAAAGAAAAAAAAGAGAGAGAAATAGAACAAACCCAGATATTTTCTAATTTTTTGTTTCTCTGTCTGTTTATCTGTTTGTCTGTTTTTATGGGCTAATCTCCTATATCCTTATATCCTCGGTCAACATTTTAGATACTTTTCATCCCGGAAAATTTAAGAGGTGGGATAGTTAAAAAAATATAGTAACTTATACAGCTTAGTACACAACAACATATACATTTAATTTAGTAAAATTTGGCATGCTGATACCTTATATTGCCGGTCAAACAGGTTACTTTATATCCCGGAAAAATGAACGGTTCCCGTGGGCTAGATCTGTTTATGTTTTTCTAGAGGCGAACAACGGCAGTCATCATCGTTAATTTCTCTCACAAATATATAAATTAATAATATAATGTCCTCAAAAGTTTTATTCTACTTTAAAGAATTATTATCATTCTGTGTAACTTCATAAAGACCGTAACGATAGAAAGTTGTATGTAACTAGCATTTTAAAGAGACTCCAGTGAAAGATAATTTGTCAAAGTCAAAAGCAAAAGTAATTAATCTTACCCGATAAGTATGTGGGTGTGTTTTTCATATTTAAATATTACCTATTATTAACATAATATTTTTTTGTATTCAGTTCTTTTAATATTTTGTAGGTCACATATGTGTTTTCGTGCAGTATTGTTTTATTTAAATTATTTAACATTTTCTCCTGCATGGTGAGGACAATACATAAATTTTAAATAATTTTTTTTTTAAATTAAAGGTTTAACATTTAATACATCGGGTATTGAGAAAAACAAAAAAAAAATTGGAAATCCTTATTCTTTATTTCATTGGTTCCGCTATATCAACTAACTGCTTAAAACTAATAATAAACTTAACAATACACACAAATCAACATAACAAAGTGTCAGTGGGTAAAAAATCTCGTATCAGATCGAGATTCGACTTTTAAATATACGATATTTATATAACCATATGATGTACATAGACGAATGGTAGAAATCAATAGATAAAGTATGGCAATCAAAAGCTCTTCGAAGATTTGTACTATTTTTAAATAAGTATTTGAGGGATACTTAACTATCTACACTTACTAAAACATTCGAGTCGACAAATTTCAGACTTATCGTAATGGTAACAAGTAGATATCGATTCACGAGGCGAGAGAATTTGCAATCAAGGACGATCTAATTTGTAACCCCTCGTTATAGCTTTATTTAATAACAACATTTTCGATCCATTGGAGAATGAAATCTGATATTCTGGATTGTGATTGTAAATGGATTGGTAGACTTGTTGCAATTCAGTAATTAAGACACTTTATAATTGCAATCAGTTAAGTTAAATGTAAACCAAAGCGTGGAAATACTTTTGATCAATGAAGTCTACGTCCATTTTATTAAAGCTTGTCACTAGAAAAAAATCGTTATTCATACCAAGAGGAACAATCGCATCGCACGCACATTTCTTCGCAATGCTAATTAGATATTTATAAAACAGTCTTTACCTATTATGTAGTGCGATGCGAAAGTTTCTTCTATCAGTCATCCCCTTTGCATTAGGCCCTGACTTCATTTTTCATATATTCCTGAAGTCAGAACTTACAGGTAATCTTTGACTCATATTTACACACAAATTACTATGCTTAAAATTTAAATAATTTATTTGGGAAATTGCCACGTCTGCTGTTGTTGTGATGGTTTTTGCTGTTGAACTGTTTGTTGTGGCTCTGTTTGTTTGGGTGCTGGCTGAACAACTACTGATTTTTGACTTCCAGCCAAACTATTATCATTTCTATCCCAACTATGTACATGCTCGTGGTGATCGGGTGAAGGGAACCACTCTGATATCCAGACAGGCCTCCAAATTTTCTTTACTCCTGGAACCCATATTTCTTTCCAATCTGGGACCCAGATTTGCTTCCAAGCTTCCTTCCATTCCAATTTTTTATCGGGTACCCAGATAAGTTTCTTTGATGGTTTCCAGATTTGTTGCCAAGCTTCCTTCCAGATTAGTTTCTTATCATCAATCCAAATTTGTTGTTTTTCTGTCTTCCAGATTTGCTTCCATTCGTCTTTCCATACTAATTTCTTATCAGGAATCCATATCTGTTTTTTAGCTGGTTTCCAGTACTTCTTCCAGATTGGTTTCCATATCAGTTTCTTTTTCCAAAGATCATGTGAAGTATATTCCCAACCTTCATGATCCTTACCTAAATACTTTTCACCAGGAATTCCAAGTTTAACCCATTCCGGTTTCCACAGCTTTTTCCATGCGGGTACTTGAATATCTTTCCAACCCGGAACTACAATATCCTTCCAAACGGGTACAGTTATTTTCTTCCAGTCGGGCACTTTAACTTCTTTCCATGCAGGTACTTTTATAGGTTTCCACTCGGGTTTGTAAATTTTTTTCCAATCAGGAACTTTGATCTCTTTCCAAACTGGAACTTTTGTTGGCACCCAGATAGGTTTCCAAATCTTCTTCCAAGATGGTTTCCAGATTTGTTTTTTGGCTGGTTTCCAGATTTTCTTCCATCCAGGTTTCCAAATCAATTTCTTTTTCCAGTAACCAGGATCATGGTGATCATGATGAACATGATCATCATGATGATCATGATGATCGTGAAAATCGTGATGTTCATGATGTTCCTCAATATGATGTTCTTCTAAATGGTGGTTATGGTCATTATGACCGTGGTCCTCTATAACTTCGTGATGGTCACCGTGCGGTTGAAGGTTGTCATGATCTTGAAAAGGGTTGATTAAATCATTTGACGGCGCTGGGTAATCATACCCAATGCGTTTTTGAGCGTTACTTTGCTCTTTTTGTGCCAACTGTTGCAGAGTCTGTTGATCTTGCGGTATTAACGCCTTTCCTGATACAAGAGCTACTTGTAGAATTACCGCTAGGGTAATCTGAAACAATCGAAATATTTGCTTATTATATGTACAATATGAGTAATTATTCGCATTGCTTTCAATTTAGAATATCGTATATATAGTACTTAATATACTCATATTATATAATGAGCTAAACTATAAAAATTTGAAAAAGCCCAGTTCTTTAGATCCAGTACCCAGATCGAAACAAATATGTGTGTGGGCTGCAGATATTTGACTTGATATAGAACTAAGTGACGGTTAGTTTAGTAATTATTATATCGCTATTATCGCTAAAAACGCTAAGCAGTTAAAGTCAATAATCGCACAGCCTTAATATTACATTACACAAATTAATTAAATAAATGTTCCAAATATTTAAGCTGAAGTAGAAACACTCGACACAGACGACTTATCGTAATAACTTAATATGTAATATTAGACGAAGACAACCTTTGTCGTGACTTGCATTAATAACAAACAACAGTTTCACTAGCTAGTTGGGGTTACATAAATTATGACTCATTGCATCACAATATCGACCGAATAATAAAAGGAAAGTGGGTCTAAATATCTATGACCGGTCCTGGTTGAGACGAAATAGGAAGTAATGAGAACTCCATGCTGTTATGGCGACCTCAGTGAAAGTTGTATGACAGTTACTCTCGTTACCCTGCCGATATACAGAATTTTTAAAGCTTGTTACATAAATATACGTTGCAAATTAAAACCACATTACACTTACAAAAGATTGTGCTTGGAATGTGTTTAAAATTTAATTACGTATTATGTATACACATGTATGTATTTACGTTAATTTATCTAATATTACAGTTTATTTAAATTGCGAATGTCTACAATCATAACAATTCCTTTTTTAATTGACAAAAAATAATATAAATCATAATACTTATAATATAAACTTATATATGTATTTATTTTATAGCAACCACTTTATAAAATTTAGCATTGCCCGCGGTTCTGCCCGCGTTCTGATGACCGAAACCAAATTCTTAGGTTTTACAGATTAGCATACTCTTACATTGCAGTTTTTGCATTTTTTTCTCTGAAATGAGATATTTTCCTGCGGTAAATAGTATCCTATATGTTGACTTGGATAACCAGCTATTACCATACCAAATTTCATCAAAATCCCTCCAGTGGTTTTTCTGTGATGCAGTAACAGACAGACAGACAAAAATTCTAAAAACTATAGATTCGGCCTCTGTATCGATAATAATGTTTATTTCAATAAGATTTTCCAAAAAATATTTAATGTACAGATTCGTCTTAGTTACAATTTTATTATATGTATAGATATAAAATAATAATGTACGTATTACGTAAAATCCGTAAAAATACCCTGTGAAAGTACACATAGCTTGTTATCATACTTTGCACCTGACTAATGAAATACAGCACACGGATGACATTATGCAACCGTTACGCAACAGTGACAATAGCCATTCATTCGCCAGTTATGATCTTATCAAGGAATTAGTTCCTGTTAGACCTTTAGAGAGTTTAGCATTCAGCTTAGAACTATCTAGAACGGTATTCAAATTGCCATTGTCAATATTTTATTAATATCTTTTTATAAACAATATTTTTATAATCATTTTTTTTTTCTTATTTTATTTTATAATTAATTATGCAAAAAATTCAACAGAAAATTTGATAAGACGCTTACATAAGCTAATGCTTTTTAAAATGTCCAATTCACTTTATTCAGACGATATTCGCGTATTACATAAGTCTTATAAAAAAATTAAATATTTTTTGCTTAGTATCTGGTGCCATTATTACGTATTCTTAATTTATGTACGTAAAAAATTTCTGATCCAATATATTTCGTATTTCACATCAGATGTTAATTACGTTTATAAAAACGATACCGATCAGTGTTTTTATTCTAGTGACGGGATCTTACGACGGGTTGACTTTTTCGTTAAATCCCAACATTTATGTTAAATCCATACATAACGAATCGAAAATGTATTGAGTAATGTAGGTCGTATTTGCTCATCCACCTACGTATTACGTATAATTGTTACTAAAATAAAATCGTGACCCGACACTGCGGAACCAGAAGAAATCTGCCAATTATATAATATAACAACAAAACATGGTTGTAGAACCCACGAGAAATTCAATACTATACAAGTGATATTAATCTAGAATAATGCAGTTTTGTTATTGTTTGGCTTGTAATTAGTGCGAAATTTGCTTACAAATCCAATGTCTCAAACAATGATGTGACTCGCAGAAAGAAACAAAGATGTAGGTATGCGATAAAGTTTTTATTTTCCATTTCTCGACTTATCTATGAGTTATTATCTTTATGTGTAAAGCGGAAATAAGCCGTTCAATTGTAATTGCTTTTGATAATGATTAATTAAAATGTTGAAAATACTCAATCCCATACTTAAAGTTTATGTATCTACGCTTATTAGTTTTTAGCAGAACCCGCGGCTTCGCTCGCGCTAAAACTTCAAAAAGAGCTAGAAAGATAGGTTTCATATAAACTTTTATCCCCTATTTTACCCCCTTTATGAGATGAATTTCGAAAAATGCTAAAACACGTATTTATTTAATTGTATTGAAGAGCATTAATACCAAGTTTCAAGTAATTCTGATCATAAATATTTTTTTGGGTTTTATTATAACGTGGGGATGAGATAACTCCCGCGATAAAAAGTAGCCTACGTTAATGTTCAGCCCTGCAACTATCTCCACACAAAAAATCACGGCAATCCCTCGCTCTGCTTCGAAGTGAAAGACTATTTAAAATATTAAGACCGTATAAAAGATATAGAATAATATATTTTTATTTTTATATTAACAATTTTTGGCATAATAGACTGTTTCATAACAATGTATGCGTATTTTGTGTTAGAAATTACCATTTTTCAAATTACAAAAAATAGAGAGTCGAATCTGTACATTAAATATTTTTTGGAGAATCTTATTGAAATAGTCATTTTTATCAATACAGAGGACGAATCTATAGCTTCTAGAATTTTTGTCTGTCTATTTGTCTGTCTGTCTGTCTGGTTATCTGGATTAACATTTCGGATACCATTTACTGCGGAAAGATATCTCATCTCTGAGAAGTCTATAATACTATCCTTTAATACGTATTAAGGGACGAAGCTAGGGTGAGTCGCTAGTTATTATATAATTATTATGGAACACGAAAATTAAAAAAAAGAGTTAGTAAACAATTTTTTATACGCAATTTTACTTTTTTATATGTAATAAATTATTACACATTATTTACACAAATTACTGATAATTTCTTTTCATATTATTATTACGAAATTATTATTACAAAAATAAACAATAAACAGTATCTCCAATTATGCAAAAATCTATTTGTTTGTTTAAAATATTTGACGACTATTAAGAATTAACTAAACACACAAGCAAGCGCCGCACGCGTCACAAGTGTGAATTGCCAGTTCTATTTAATTTGTCAGATCGTCAATATTTGGGTTTGCTACTAGTTTTAACTTTTAACTAAGTTAAAATTTCGAAGTACTTATTCATCTATAACTTAAACACTTATTTTACATTTACAGATTGCTAAAAATTTCAGATTCTACTTGGTAGACAAAAGCGGTTATAACGTAATAAGCGACCTCGATGTAATTACTTCTATTCAAAGAAGTCTGCAACGGACGTCCGCAACTGCGCGACCCGAATGCTATTTACCAGTCTTACCTTCCGAAAAGAGACAATTAAAATACTAATTAGTACTGCAATGGCCGATGACTTTATATATAACAAATGAAAACTGGCGGGAAAATTAAAAAAAATCTTAAAATAAATTTCCAAATTTAAAAAACTTCACTGACCACTAGGCTCCAGATCCCTCGCATGTTGAGGCGGGGACGGCCGTTGATAGCTCGAGAAACTGTTTACTCGACTTGCTTATGTTGGTTTTGAGTTTATATATGACTGAGCCCACCCCTGACACGCGACGTCGGGGAGGGGACACACTTTCGCGGGTCTCAGGCCCTCAGGAAGCGTGGGAAGTCCAAAGGATTCTTCTAAACTCGAAATTGAAAATATATATGTATACTTTACAGCAATACACAGCGGATATCCGCTGTAATTGACTTAAAACTTTCCTACTAATTAATATTTTTTTTTATTTTCATTTCATTTTATAGAAAACCCGTCAAATGCTAAGTTTATTTTTTATACGTTATCGTCATTTCAGTTCGATGCTATGTATGTTTTTACAATGCAATAAATTTACTAATTTAATGCCTCAACGATCGCCGACACACCGGTGTTACAGTTAACAACAGATTTCTTAGATATTTAATTAATTTCTTCATAATTTACCTGGAGGAGTTAACACAATAATGATGGCTAATATTTCATTTATTTTCATTTATACAAAATAATTTCCCGCTATAATATAGAATCATGAACGAATTAACCACAATTCGTCCATGTATAGAATAATATAAGTCTACGCTTAAAAAGATATTTTATACAAGTAGTGCCAATTAGGACCTCAATTTGCAAGCGCTTTCTCCGTCATATTTTAAAGATTTACTTTGTTATCACGTATTTATCACAACAGAGCATGTTAGAAAATGTCGCGAATTCAGAGAACATTATTTGCAAGCTTTTTCAGTGAAAATTATTTTCTAAATAAAATTTCCCTGTATAAATACGAATGTGTCAGTAGCAAAATCCTCGTACACCAATATTGTACCTAATTACTTATTAGTTTGTATCCATTATTTTAATAAAAATAAAGTAAAATTAAAAATTAAAAATCTCTATCATTTTCAACAGGCAAATTACCGAGTTTTTAGAAAATTTTCATAAATTTTATAATTTCGTAACACATACATAGGTACTATGGTAAGCATGCCAAAATTCATTCTAAGATCAAGAGACCACTATCTTTGGCCAGTAATAAGTATGTATATATTTAATTCAAAACAGCTATAAATATTTTTTGGTTCGTTTGTAGCTTCCAACAACCATTTGTTTGATTTTATCGCAGAAACTATTGTATGGATATTCATTATTCATGCAATTTTTCAATATAAAGAGGAATTGTCTAGGAAGATTATGACCGGTAATTTAGGAACATTTTGCGGTAATAAGCCACCGATATGATGATAATGATGATTTGTAAATTAAGTAGAAAAAATCGATCGCGCACCCTAAAGGGTAAGCCATTAGTTTTTTTAATATCCATACTAATATTATAAATGTGAAAGTGTGTTTGTTTGTTTATTTGTTTGTCTGTTTATTTGTTTGTCTGTCATTCTTTCACGTCGTAACGGAGTGACGCATTGGGGTGATTTTTGTGAGGGTATAGTTGGAGGGCTGAAGAGTTACATAGGCTACTTTTCACCCCGGGAGTTTACCTAATTCCCACGGGAAAACTCTTTATAATACAACCCAAAAAAATATTTTTGATCAGAATTACTTGAAACTTGGTATTAATGCTCTTCAATAAAATTAAATAAATACCTATGTGTTTTAGTATTTTTCGAAATTCATCCTATTTGGGGGTAAAATAGAGGATGAAATTTGGTATGAAACTACCTTTTTAGAGTTTTTTTGTAGTTTTAGCGCGAGCGAAGTCGCT